ATCCTGCATCGCGCCTGGAATGACTCCCCTTTGGCCCCTGACGGGATCTTTTCGGCCGGGATCTCCAAGGGGCAGAACTCAATCATGGGCTTGCCAACCATTTCCATTCCCCTTCAACTTCCTGGTCTTTAACTCACTTCCTCAGTTCATGAACTTTAAACTGTTTGGGTTTGGACCATTTTAGTACGGCAAATCTAAAGTTCGGTGTCTTTTTTCGGGCCTGGGCCACTCAGCCAGCGAGAGATTTTGAGAGACAGCCGGTGTCTTCACAGCTGGCAGGTACCAAGTGGTTGGCGTTGGCTGTGGTTCCGATCCACAGGACTAGCGCTGAGTGGGTTATATAGCTCCATAGTGGCTGGCCACAAAGTATTTTCATGGGGGCTGGGGGGGAGGGAGGCGGGGGGGGGGGGGGGGAGGGAGCCCAAAGAAGCCCGAAGTAAGGCCTTATTAAGGGACTGGGACCCGTAACCTTTACTGCTATTGGGTTGGATCTTTAGACTTTAGCTTTTTGGTTGAAATAAAGAGATGCTTTCCACTAAACCCCCAAAAAGTGGTCCACTTTTTGCAGGGGGGTCAACAGCAACCAAGAGTTTGGCCTTTCAAGTCTTCGGGCTTCTTTCAGTAGGTGTCATGTTCTTTTAGGTTTTTGGAGCTGGCCTGTAAGGACATGGTAGGTAGGTGTCAAATATTCTATCTTTGTTCTTTTTCGGATTTTTGGAGCTGGCCTGTAAGGACATGGTAGATGACCGCTGGAGATCTCCATTTAGGGCAACCCATTTTCCCTTTGATAGGGAATGCTCGGAAAAAGACGTGGTAGGTAACCCTGTCCCTGTTCTTCTCTCAGCCAGGGTTTGGCTAGGTATCAAATCAATCTTTGGTCTTCTGGGCTTTTTTGGGGGGTCAACTTTGTCCGTCCTAGATAGCCAAGTCGCTGTTTTTTCAGTCACTGTTGCTGATTGTTGGATGGCAAAGTGCATGGAAAAGATAAATGACAAAACAGCAACTGGCGATCAAGGCTGTTCTTCGAAACGTTTTACATTTTTACATGTTTGCTGATTGTGGTTTAGTGGTTGAAATCCAACCACTTAACTGCTAACATTTCAATGTTTGCTCCCCTTCCAACGTCAACCAAGTGGTTCTTTGGTAGGAGTTGTCATCAAGCCGCCATGGATTCTATATGCAAAGGAAACAGCCATGGCCAAGGCCGACACTACTGTGGATGGACGAAATCCACCATGTAAGAAGCCCTGGAATGATTCGAGAAACCTGGAGTCTCCATGGCCCTTTAAAAAGCTTGGCATACTGTGGATGGACGAAATCCGCCAAGTTTCTAGCACCGTCCGCCAGGTGGACGTTTGGTGGGATGGCGAGGCCCGGGGCCGTCGCCCGCTCTGCCGCGGCAGCGGCGACGGCGCGGCGCTCTGCGCCGCCCTCGACGCGGCGCCGTTCGCCGCGGCGCGGGTGGCAGCGGCCTTCGCGTCGGGCCAGCGCCGCGGTGGAAGTGGCGGGGGGGTGGGGTGGGGAGGAGGGGGGGCTGAAAGGGAAACCAAGCGGGTAGTGACTTTCTGGTTTTTTGGCTTGGCGGGGTGGGGGGCGGCTGGGGTGGTTAAAGGGATAGGAAAACCCCTTTGATTATGTTTTGTTGGTGTGGTTAGGGGAGTGTCGTTTGTGAAGGCAATCTCTTCGGGGGGAGGTGAAAAGGAAACCAAGGGGAAAACATCAACAATTTTGGTCGCGGCTCTGAATTTGGCACCCTTTTTCCTTTTTGGTGGCTGCCCCACTAAAAAGGGTCTTCCCCAAAAATGGTTCCCTTTTTTTTCCAGAGTCACTGAACAACTGAGTTAGAGAAGCCTCGCTGGGTTGGCTTTACAGGGCACAAAAACCCCAAGAAAAGCGTCTGGTTTGGGTCCTGCACTTGACTGAGGCTGGCTCCTTGGTCGGCGGGGCGGGAGGGGAGCACCCGGAGCTTTTGAACTGGGTTCTTCGAAGTGGTCTGACATGTTGACGGGTTCTCAATAGTCACTTTTGAAGATTGGACATCCTGTGAAGCGGCCGTATTCGCAAATGGAGGGTATAATGGGCCGATCACTGGTGGACTTGCCGAAAAGGTCTTTATCATGCGAAGCAAAAAGCGCCTCTCGTCGGTCTTCGGTTCCCTTCACAGAGGCAAACTGAGCCACGTGCTCAAAACCGATTCGGGTAGATGAGAAGGGTAACCCCAAAATGGCTTGCCCTGGTTTTTTGGAAACATGGACTAAAACCTGCGGTCCATCTCCTAGTGGCTTAACCCGCCCCCTCATGACCTAGGGTCCAGGATCCGGTCAGCTCCAATTGGGCAATTCACAGGCGCAAGTCACCGAAACACCGCCGAGGTTGGCGGTGTTCAGCGTGGAGGATGCCAAGGAGATGCATTCCGGGCGTGACGCCGTGAAGAAGCCAGATCCGGTGAGTCAACATTTCGGTAGACTTAGGATACATACATTTGACCAGTGACTCAAAGTGAAGCAAGCAATCAGAAAAGGCATTCTATAACTGGGCCTAGCTCTGATCATGATTTCGAGTAGGTGCCCCAGCTAGGTGCCCGTTCTTTAACCCCTTTTTGGTTGGGAGGGTTTTCCCCTACTGAAATAGACAAACAAGGAAAAAGTGGGTACCAACTTGTTCTAGCCTCTCAAATCTGGAGGACCTAGAGTAGGCTATGGTCCATTTGAGAGGAACACGTGGGGCAAGAGCAAAATTTTGACCGCGGCTCATATGGCCGTTTCCTGCATGTGATGCCGCGTGGTTTGGATGTCTCCCTTTAGAGGGCCTAGGTGTTTTTTGTTTTTCTTCCAGGGCCCGGATGTCCTGGATGTCCAAACGCATTTGGGGTTTGTCTTTGTTGAGGGTACCTGCTTTGTGCCTGTTCTGGGAAGACTAAAGGGACACCACCCCTTGGAGAATTCCCCCAAAAAGACAACCCCATGTAGCAATAGGATAGGCCTCAAACAGAGAACATGTTCACGCAACCCTAGCCGACCCTGGCTCTCCTTGTACTTTGTTTTTGTCCCGCACGGACAAACAGTGGATGGACAGAATCCACTAAAGGCGCCACCTAGATTGCACAGTTGCTGTTTTGTTCAGTCACTGTTGCTGGGATTTGGGGTCAAGTGCATGGAAAAAAATGATCGCAACTGGCGATCCAGGCAGGTGGTTTATCCCACTGTTCTACGGGTTGATTCCCCATTCTTTCCAATCATCGTTCTTTTCAAAGGCCAGCTGTTTTCCCGGGTTTGTTTGATGGTTTTCCAGAAAGAATGATCCCTGGAACGAAGGTGGAAGCAACCCTTAGAACTGTCTTTTTTTGTTGTTTTTATTATTATTATTTTATTATTATTATTGTTATTATTGTTATTATTATTATTATTTATCAGGAGCTCTACCGCGCGAAGCTCTGGGAGAAGTCCACCAGCGCAAGCTCCACTCGGCTGGCGCTGGCGTGGGAGCCCAACGGCGCGGGAGCCCGGTCGGGTTCGAGTGAGTTGAAACCATGGGCTTGGGGTAGCTGTTCGGAAGGGATTGGAGGAGGGGTGTGGTTGTCAAAACCAATGGTACCGTTCTGGGGGATTTGTGAATTCACCACCCACAATTTGGGGGGATTTGTGAATTCACCCCCCACAATTTGGGGGGATTTGTGAATTCACCCCCCACAATTTGGGGGGATTTGTGAATTCAGCCCCCACAATTTGGGGAGATTTGTGAGTTCAGCCCTCACAATTTGGGGGGATTTGTGAATTCACCCCCCACAATTTGGGGGGATTTGTGAATTCACCCCCCACAATTTGGGGGGATTTGTGAATTCAGCCCCCACAATTTGGGGAGATTTGTGAGTTCAGCCCTCACAATTTGGGGGGATTTGTGAATTCACCCCCCACAATTTGGGGGGATTTGTGAATTCACCCCCCACAATTTGGGGGGATTTGTGAATTCAGCCCCCACAATTTGGGGAGATTTGTGAGTTCAGCCCCCACAATTTGGGGGGATTTGTGAATTCACCACCCACAATTTGGGGGGATTTGTGAATTCACCCCCCACAATTTGGGGGGATTTGTGAATTCAGCCCCCACAATTTGGGGAGATTTGTGAGTTCAGCCCCCACAATTTGGGGGGATTTGTGAATTCACCGCCCACAATTTGGGGGGATTTGTGAATTCACCCCCCACAATTTGGGGGGATTTGTGAATTCAGCCCCCACAATTTGGGGAGATTTGTGAGTTCAGCCCCCACAATTTGGGGGGATTTGTGAATTCACCCCCCACAATTTGGGGGGATTTGTGAATTCTCACCCCCCCCCCCCCCCATTTTAGAGCCTATTTTAGTGTTTGGGATTGAATCGGATGTTCTCTGGGGGCTAACCGATTTGGCGTTTTGACCCATGGCTCGCGTATCGAAGCAGGGGGCCTTGCGGAGCTTCCAGGTCTGTCAGGACATGGGGGGGCTGGGACCTGAGACGTCTTCAGACGTCATTTGAGCTTCTTTGGCTGAAACAGCTGGGATTTTCCATAGCCACCAGACAACTTGTTGCAGAGAATCTCTCACCAGCACATTCTTCTTTCGGGGGCCGCCTGGGCCTTTCTCTTGCATTGAGGGGTGTTTGGAACTAATCATGTCGTTGCTGGATGGGTGCACAAAATAGACAAACCAGAAAAAATATCGAGTACCAGCTTATTCAATTCTAACCTCTCAAATCTGGAGGACCTAGCCCCCCAGCCCCCCAACCCTCCCCCAACCCCCAGAAACGTGGGAGCGCGTGATTGTCGCCATTTTCCGGCGAAGCGCTCAGAGGAACCGATTCCAAGGGCCCAAGGCGCCCAAGGGGCCCAAGGCGCCTTGGCGCTCAAGGCAAAGCGAGGTAGCAAGTTGGCCCCAAAGGAAAACACCCTTGGCGGTCGGCTTGCCCCCACAAATGAAAAAATGGACCCCAAAGAGGGGGTCCATGTTTGAAAAGGAGGTTCCACTAAACATGGTTTTTGGGCTCCATGTTTTAATTTTGAGTGTAACCTATTTCAATTAGCTGTTGGTTGGAAGGGAGCCGTGCCGGAGCGGGTATCCAAATTCGCTGAGCTAAACAGGGAGCAAAGGAAAGGAGCTACCAGGAGGTGTGTAAGGACATGGTAGACAAAACATGTTTGCCCGCCCCCAACTCTTTTTGGAGCAGTAGAGTCATTCCCGATCTTGGGTGTTTCAAGTCGACACAGGAGCCTTGCCAAAGAGGCGTTTGGTGCCTTTTTAATGGACCAGACATTCCAGCCAGCATTCATCGTCATTTGAGCAACTGGCAGTATAGTTGGCAATTTTGGTAGTCTAAGTGCTGGTTTTTGCGGGGACGACTCAGACTTTCCACAGAAAGCCAATGTGGCCCTAGTCAAACACATGTGAGACCCCTTCGTCAAGACGGAATCAAGAGGGAAAGGACTCAAAGTCTTTTCGGGGTCCCCGGAATCGCCCATTGGCCCTCCGCACGTTCCATACCTGTCTCAAAGTGAGGAACCAGCCACCAGGGCCCCTAAATTTCATTTTCTCTCCCTGAGTTTTCGTTCGGAATTGAGTCACTTTTTGGGTTTGGACAGATGTAGCAGGAAAAAAAATAGATAACAAGTCTGGTTACTCTTCTTGGCCCATCCACTCAGGAAGTGAGGGGACCAACCACCAGGGCCCTAAGCTCTCTCTGCCCGAGGCGAGCGCTTGGCTCTTCCCGGCTTGGCGACGCTGGGATGCGGAGGGGGAGGAGATCGGACCCCTCTCGGTCGTTTCGGTTTCCTCGTGGCTCCCGGAGGGGCTTCCGGTTCAACTTAGCTTTTTGGCCTTTTAGTGTGTAGTGGTTGGATTTCCAAATTTGACCCAAAAGCTAAACTTTTGGCGGGGGATCTGAAAACGGACAGCCCAGTTTTTAAGCTTTGGGGCTTTTCTTGGGGTCATGACTTTGGTTCGGGGGCCTTTGAGATTGAGACACAACGCATTCGAACAAGACCCTTTTGATTCCCTGTTTGGGGTGATACTACAATGCAAACCAAGGAGAACGGATCTCAAATTTGGAGTGTTCCCAATTTTTACAGACGCCTTGTTCTCTTTGGAGCTTTCGACCCCAAAGAATAGGAGGATTCACTCTGCCCGGACCTCCAGTGCATTTCCATGGGAAAAAATGCAGGGCGCCTTGGTCCATTGGTTCAGTAGTTGCGTTGATTTTTTTTTGAGCAACACAGGAAAAGCAGGACATGGGTGTAAACGAATAGGGGGCCATTCCATTCATCCTTCACTTCAAGGCGGGGCGGGGGAAGGGGGGGGGGTTGGGAAGCGCCACTCCGCCAAGCTGACCCTCCCACCCACCAGACCTTAAGGATTCCTTTCACACGAATCCGTCGGTTTTCGAATTCCCGAAAACCTCGGCCTTGTGCGTTGCTGGGACCTCCTCGATGCCTTCCCCCCTTGGTTCCTAGAATAATTATCCCAAATTCTCAGGTTGGAACCCCTCCTGGGAGTTGGGAAACGCGCAGCTGGCCCCATTCTGCCATGATCAAAGTCCGCTTAAGCCCAGAGGGAAGCAACCCCTGACTTGGAGCAGTTTGGAATTCAAGCGCCCCACAGCCCCGTTGGAATCATTTGCTGTAGTCCATGAAAACTCAGACGACTTGATGTTTTCCCTAAAACACCTGCCCCCCCTATGGCCCATGGGAGTCTCTTTTCTAAAGCAACAGGTTGCTTAGGCAAACGTGGTGTAAAGGCGTCTAAACAAGTTGCACAATGCAGGTTGTTAACCTGCCACAAAGAGCGAGTCCCAAATTTTAGGAACCAAAACGGTCCAGTCAGCCGGTTGTTTAAACAGCAGTGGTTTAGGCCATGGTTTGCTCCCCTACAAATTAGAATGGACCCCACAAAAAGGGGGTCCATGTTTGAAAAGGAGGTTCCACTAAACATGCTTTTTGGGCTCCATGTTTTAATTTGGAGTGTAACCTATTTCAACTAGCTGGTGGTTGGAAGGTTATCCCTGTATCCAAATCTGCTGAGCCAAACAGGGAGACGGACGAAGTGAGCCGAGCGCAGGGCTGGTTAAGGACATGGTAGGGGGACTGGGCCCTCTTTTGGTTGACCTTACTGAAACCTTTTTGGTCAGGGACAATGTCTGTAGCGGATCTTTGGACTTTTAAAGCCTTTTGAGGCGAAGCTGGAACCTTCTTGCTTAGGGGCGACGGCTGTTTGGCAGCGGATCCTTGGACTTGTTCCATGTTTTTGTGGGGTGGAACAGAGACTTCGACACTTCTTGGGGGGCCCTTTGGCTTCTTGGCGGATCTTTGACCCTTTGGACCCATGGACATTTCGGGGGGTAATTTCCCAGCTCAAGCCCGGTTTGGGGCCCATTTCTCGAGGGGTACCTTCCAAATTCGGAGCCCCGGGGATCCGGATCTATGGATCTTTCTAGAAAGCCTCCGGAAACCCAAAGAAAACGGATCCGGCGTTTGGAAGAAAAACACCTCGTTGGTTGAAAATCATGGACAAGGAATCAACCCCTGGAGAAGAAAAACGGATCCGGTTGAAAAGTTGGTTGAAAAGAATGGGGACTCGAGCCCCCCAGAATTTCGCCCAGGTCGGTGCGGCTGCTGGACCGCTGCTGGCAGCTGCAGGAGCTGAAGGGCGGGCACCGCTTCTCCACCACCCTGGCGGCCTGGCGCGGGCGCCCGACGGCGACGGCGCCCGTCAGTCGCCCTGGGCGGTGAGACCTTCAAGCCGCCTTTGGCGTCGGCTCGTTGAGGTTCCAAGCATCCGGGTAACTTCCAGTTGCTTAAGTGTTTATGTTCTTCTTTTTTTAGATGTTGGTTTTAATGGGAATTTATCACTGCTGGAAATATTTGTCCCAGTGGACTTAAACAAATGGAAGGCAAGTGAAGGTTCGTAAATGAGAATCCCAACCATATCTGGGTGCTGTCGCCTGTTTAATTCGTTAGATGTTTCTGGGTATACCAACTTAATGTCAGGTTTTGATTGTCACTCAAAAATGGCAAAGCAACTCTAAAGGATGTGCTCTGCTTTGCTCCTCGTCTTGGTCCTGTCTCTCTTCTTCAAGTCAATTGACATCATCGTGCCTCTCAAGGTTCACTGAACATGGGCAAGAATCATTCAGACTCCGTTCACATAGGCTCAGCAAAATTGCCATCCCGATTACGATGCTGGTGTTCCGAACAAAGCATTGCTTTCATTGATTGCACAATGACATGACACACTGCAGTTCGGGATGCACCCGTACCACACCGTGCCAGGAGGCACTTTTTTCCGGGTGTCCCTTTAAAATCAGGGAAGTGCATTTTTCTACTGGGACTCTGAGAAGATGTATGTGCCCCCAAGTATCCCCCAAGTATCACCCTGTCCAATTTAGCTTGACACCCCTGAACTTTTGGGTGGGTTGGAATCCGATTCGGGAAGCTATGACCATACAGATTCGGAGTGACCATGACTTTTACTTTTTTGGAAAGGCCGTTTTAGTTGTAAATCAACAGTTTGGTTACCTTTTTTTTGGCCAGTCCACTCAGGAAGTGAGGCTTTGGTTCACTTTTGGCCCTTTTGCGAGCAAAAGTATTAGAGGGTAGTATGGGCAATCCCAGCCGTAAATGGCTGCGGATATCCGGCGTTTCCGTTCTCATGGTTTTTGCTGGTAGACCATTGGGTGTTGATTGTGACTCAGTGATTGGAGTGCTGTCGATCTGAGCGAAGCGGGAACCGCTCCAGGTCGCCCTCCGGCAATGTGCTGGTCACAGCCTCTATGGAGGCGAGCACGGCCTTGCGAGCACGGGTTTGTTTCTTGCTTCGAGTACCAGCGTTATTGTGCATGGACGAACTCCTGCACCAAAGAAACCCAGGAGCGATGAAATACAAACGAACGTGATGGTTTGCAACCATGGGTTTCATTTCGTGGAGCGAAAAGGAGTTCGGAACGGAAATTCACGATATGAATCGGGGGGGCTCCCCTGGAAAGGAAGCATCACTGAAAAGGGACTCCCTTGGGGGGTTTATTATATGGCTGTGGGTCAAAACCAATGGTACCATTTTGGGGTAGGTGAACCACGCATTTTAGTCCATTTTAGTGGGTTGGGAGGTTCACTGGGAGTACGGGCTTTTGACCCACGCCCATATATTCTGGGGTCACAATGGGGGGCTAGTAGTCACTAAGGCCTAGGGCCACTGGGCTGCGTCAACTGAGGCACAAACAAGCCAGGGACCGCAGTGCGGGAGTCCGCCTTTCAATTTGTTTTCGGTTTGGGTAGCCCCTTTTCGTGCCAGGTTTTGATGATGTCTCAGGTAACCGTCGTGACAAAGATCGGTTGCATTGGTGGTTTGGGGATTTCACTGCCTGGTTCTTGCTGAAGGCAAATGGGGAACCACCCCGGAACACCCCCAAACCACAAATCCAAGACAGAATGCGAGGGAAGCTGAAGTCATCTTGGTCAAAGCGGGTCAGCGCTCAATCAACGGGGTTCGAGCTGCATGCATACTGTGGATGGACGAAATCCTGCACCACTTTGAAACCATGGCAAACCAGTGTTTGTTGGTACAAGCAGGGGAATCGAATCATTCCAGTGCTTCTTGGGTGGTGCAGGAATTCGTCCATCCACAGTATCGCTGCATCATGTAGCTCCGCCCTTGATGACATGAAAGCCTTGAATCCCAGTGGCCACTCGCGATCATTCATTGGCATCGCAGCTTCGCTGGAAAAAATCAGCGTCCGAAAAACCTCGCAATGCGGCATTTTTTTTTTCTCGGGGATGTGACTGGGCTTGTTACAGCAACTGTGCGATAATACGCCATACAAAGTTGAACTTGTGGCTTTGGGCGAGGACCCACGCAAGGGAGGCCAGTAGCAAGCTTCCTGAAGGTTCCTCAAAGAACCCTTGGGATATGTGATGGTCAAAAGTCCGCCTCCGTTTCTTGGTTGATGGTCAACCTCTTCACAGGGCGTTTAGACAACCAGCATTTGTTTCGTCCCGGCTATCGCGAGAGGTGTAAAGCATCCTATTGAGGGAATCATGCACAGATGGAGTATTGACTAGTATGCCATTGTACAGTTGATTTGGTACCGCAGTAGAAACCAATTGCAGATAAATCCCCAGAGGAAGTCGATTACTTGAGAGGTTTGTGTCGAACTGGTCGGGGCTACTTTGTTCCATGTGTGAATCAACGGGTGCGATTGTGTCAGGGTTAAAGACCCTGACCCGTTTGATGAACCGAGGCCCTGAGGCCTCTGTACTTTCCCGACTGCATGCTGCGTTTTCATACCCTGGATGGACCAAATCTGCTCGCACTACTTGGAAACCATGAGAAGCCATTATTTGTTTGTTGGTATTTTACAGGGGAATATTTTTTCCAGGGTTTCTTAGGTCGTGCAGGAGTTGATCCATCCACAGTATCTTTTTCCTCCGTCATCCAACTGCCAGCTCCAGAATCTGAAGGATGCCCGGAAATGCACTTTAACTAAGCATTGAACAGGCTGCCTAACAAGTCCTCCGATACCTCTGCCTTAGAAGTCCTTGTTAGGCTTAGACCTATACACCTGAAGGACCAGCATTCTTGGTCTTCCAGGACCCGCAAAAACAGGGTCCTGCTTGATTTTGCTCTTGGTCAGTGGAAGATCAATGTATGTGACTTATGGGGTGTGGCTCAAAAATAGCGGTCCAAAATGGAACCCTGGTAAATGGACAGGTAGGCTCAAACCTGCGTAACCCCAGCTGTTGAATTGTGAGCCACACCCATATGTGCGTCATCCGACCGTCTTTTTCGGGTAGTTTGAACTCACGTTTGTAAATCCAGCAACTCCGGGACCAGGCAGTGGCCCTGTGGTCGCACGACCGCCTGCAGCGCATCTTCGAATTTGCGGCCGCAATCCTGGGCAGTCCGGGGTGTCACACACTTTGGATGGACGCAATCCTGCACCACTTTGAAGCCATGGGACACCATTGTTCGTTGAAATTCACAGGGAAATAATCATTCCAGGGCTTCTTACATGGTGCGAAATGGATTTCGTGCATCCACGGTATGTGCATGCCCTTGCCGGATGAAATTGGGCATGCAGAGTACCGAAGGTTTTGAAGAATCAGGTTACACGAAAAGGAAGCTAGTTGTTCGAACCCATTCGAAGGCTAAAGCGGATTTTGTAGGGATCCATGCATGAACCCTTACTGTGGCTGGACGAACTCATCCGCCACCTAAGAAACCCTGGGATGAGTCGATTCCTGTGCAATTACCAAGAAAGAATTCTTTCCCATGGTTTCAAAGTGGTGCAGGATTTCGTCCTTTCACAGTAAGTTGAATATTGTTTATTGTCCCCTGTTGGTTTTAAAAGGAATCAACCACCACTGTTTTTTTTAAGCAAAATAGATGAATAATCACGACCCCTTGACCCCCAAAGAGGTACCCCAGAAGGGTGTGCATGCATGTGATGTTGGAGGCCCCGTTGATTGCATGAACGCATGTCGAACGGCAATGCCCGTTTGGCTCAAGACCAATGCCCATCACTAAAACAGGGTTTGCGCTCGCCTACCGGACTGGGGTCAATAAGGGTCCTTCGCTGTGTTTCTTTCCCTGTTGAGTGGTTATCAGCCGTAACGGCCCGAGGACAGAGGGGCGGTGGACCCATCGTCGAAAGCTTTATTACGAGGCTTTCACCCGGTGGGCCTGGCGGGAGTTCAAGGTTGGGGTGGCAAGGGTCGCCTGGGAGGAAGCTTCGGACTTGAATCGGAGCTCCCTCCTACCCTGAGCATCGGATATTGAATAGGATCAATACTTTGGCAGGAAAAATATTGATATTGAAATATTGAAAATATCAATACCCAAATGCATTTTGAATTTTGTTTTTTTTTTGAGCTTTTGGACTGTTTTTGCATGATCTAAATATCAAATTGAAGCTTCAAACGGGCCTCAAAAATATTGAAATTCAATCTTCACATGGGCTTCAACAATATTGAAATTGAAGCTTCAAACGGGCCTCAAAAATATTGAAATTGAATCTTCACATGGGCTTCAACAATATTGAAATTGAAGCTTCAAATGAGCCTGAAAAATATGGAAATTGAAACCTCAAATGGGCCTGACAAAATGATTAGATATACTGGAAACAAATCCTGGGAGGGGTGTCCCATAAAGGAGGGGCAAGGAATTTTGCAAAGCCACACATGGACCCTGGTTTAGTGCTCAGGGTGCTGAAAAACAATGAGCATGCTGTGCAGGACTTGGGTCCTTATGAGCTTGTGTCCAAGACAGGGGCTGTCCCCTCAGGCCTGGTGAAAGCGGCTGACCTTGTAAAAGGTCTGCTGCTCATTTCCCCATCTGCTGCAATTGCCCCAGGTCCCCTCAGGCAGGCTTTGGTGCAACATAAAGGCAGAAAGGGTAACATGTGTGCTATCCCATGTAAGGAGGCTTGCCAGCAGGGAACCAGAGCATATGAGGGTCTGTGCTGCCAAGCTAACCAGTGCCCAGCTGAAAACCCTGCAAGATATTGTTGCCATGGTCAGCTTTCAGGAAAACGAAAAGCACAATGCAGCCTTGCAAAAGGCAGGGCAAAGCCAGCCCTCACAAGCCTTGGAAAAGGCAAACCCTGAAGCCTTGCAAAAGGCCAGCAGCTCAGGCAGCCAAACCTCCCAGTGCAGAGAGTTAAAAAGAAACTGCAGTGACATAACCTTGGACTCCGAGGGCTACCCAGCCATGTTGAAGACACCTGAGCCCAATGCTG